AGGAGCAGGCCCAAATCTAACAACACAGCATGAAGCACTGCCAGCCTCACCTAGGCTGTCTAACTACTTGACTAGCTAAGAGGCAATTGCACTGGGCAGGTTGTATTTTTCAGGGGGCCAGGCAACAAGACTTTATTTCGGGGGCCCCTGAAATAATGTCAAGTTGGGGGCTGAAGTACTACCCCCTTTGTGGGTTTGATTGTGGGCGGGTTTTAAACAAGAGACATGTAAGAAAACATGGGTTTGGTAAAGCTGACAGTTTTGGATTTAAGGAACAAGGTACCAAAGATCCAAGGACCAAGTGTTGGCTTGGCTATCTCTCCTCTCCTTTCTCTCTTTGTTTTCTTTCTTTTGCGCGGGTGGCTTGTGCTTGTCTTTAATCCAGGTGCATTTATTATTTTTTTGGGGCCCCCCAGTTGTCTTTATTACGGGTGTAATGTTTAATCCCATTTGGACATTACCCTTTTGAGGGCAATGTTTAAAAGCCGCACCGTTGTTTTTGCGAGGGTTTCCAGTTGTAGGTGTTCTTTTTAGGTGAGTTTGGGTAGACTACACGGGTTCCGCTGAATTGGTTGTATTCCATTTACCGGGGTCGTCTGTTGTTCCAAAAGGTCACCTGAGCATGGTTGGACACTGTGCGCCGTATTTGGAGTTGGTACAGCTTTTGGGCTACAAAATGAGTAGGTTTCCTGTACTTTGCTTGCGGGCGCCCAAACCCCAAGGGCGGGAAATCGGTTTTGTTTCCTTTGGTGTCCTTTGTTTGGCCATCGATTTGTGCAACCCTTGTGTTCCAAGTGATCACGCAGAACCCCTGGCTGATGCTGGGGTTGCAGGCGCAACTGTGTAAGAGTGAGCCGGACATCATAGCTTTAAATACATTCAACCATACTCCATCATAGCACTTTGACTAGGACCCCCCAAACGCACCACCCAAACACACCTCCAAAATTGTCTACTTTAGTCTTTCCCAAGGGTGCGTGTTTTTGTTGGGGCGGGTGTTGGGGGGGTCCCCTTCAAGGGGTGTGACTCCAAAGTCGTTTGTTTGTTTTGCCTATATACTTCCATTTGGTGAAGAATATTTTGTTATTTTTCCCGGTTGGTTTTAAAGGGAATACTTCACTACTGTTTTTTTTAATATATTTTTTTCTCCAGGGGACTTTAAGCAAATGGTTTTGTAGCTGTATAGGTTTTTGTAGCTCCACAGTACTCCACAAGCCGCTGGTCTCTTGGGGAGCCTCCGCTCCGAGTCCCAGGACTGTGCCGGTCGCCGTGAAGACAAGCAGCAACTCCAGCGAGCTGGAGGTTCTCAAGCGGCGGCTTCGGCTAGGGGGGTGCCTGACGGGCCTGACCCTCAAGCTACCCATAAGAAAAGGGGGTTTCACCCCATAGTTTGAGGGCCATGACCTTTTTTTTATAATACCTGGAGTCTCCTTCTGACCCAAAATAGAAATGGGTCAATGACCAACCATTCTTTTGGCGAATGACGGTCAGAAGGAGACTCCAGGTGGTGCCTTATTCAAGGTTCCCAAAATGGAGCAAGCAACGGGGTTCCTCTTGGTTTTACCTTAAAACCACAAAAAAGGCCCATGTGGGGCCTTTTTTAGGGAACTGCTTTTTTTGAACTGGTTTCAACGGAACACCAAAGGGAAATCACAGTTGTTCGTCCCATCAGCAAGGGAGGGCTTCCATGGGTCTCGCGGTGGAAGGGATGGGACATGAATTTGATCCCCGGCACTCTCGCTGTTTTGGCCGGGTGATGTTTGTAGGGGAAGTATGGCTGTGGGTCAAAACCAATGGTACTATTTTGGGGCGGGTGCACCACTCATTTTAGTTTAAGTGGGGATTGGGATGTTCACTGGGGGTACGGGTTTTTGACCCACAGGCATATAGGGAACCTTGCTGGTTTCAGCCCGAGTTGAGATTGAAGTGAGGTACATCAGGCTTGAGAAAATGATAGCTAGGACACTTTCGTTTCTCCGGCTGATTTGGGGAACTGTGGTTGGCGCTGATTTTCGGGGTGCGAAATTTGTTGAAGCAGCCAAACTCCATTGAAGGGCAATGAGGCGGCTTAAATCTGCTTAAAGAAAATCCGTTGGCCCAACCCTGTTGATGTTGACGGGTGAGTCGAGCTAATTCGTTCCTTCCGGGCAAGCCGCTACAGTAAGGGGAAACCATGCATGGTAAACCCTGCAGGTAAAAATACCCAGGGGTTACCCACCATAAAAGATGGTACTCCATTGTGGCTTGAGAGTTTTTTCTTGTGGTATCTCAACATCCCAAATGGGTCCCTTGGCACCTCATATTTTCGCGGATTTGTGAGGAATCTGCACTTGAGAAGTCTCCTCACACCCAAAACCGCAAAAAATAGGGGGGTACCAAGGGACCCTTTGGGAATCTGAATACCCCCCCTTTTAATTCAAAGGAAACCTGACAGGCCGCCAACATCGGGAAGCACTCGTCCCAATTTGATCTGCACGCTCGGTTTGGTCTCATTTGCGTCGGTCAACACAAAGGGTCCCAAAGTTGTGTCTGGTTTCAGCGCTCCCAAGCTGTGTACTTTGTGTCAAGCTCCCAAATTGACTACGTTCAGCCTGGTCCCAGCTGCTGTTTTGTGTTTGCAAAGTTTGTGTCAGGGTCGTGGTTGCTTGTGTTGGTCTCAAAATAGGCAAGCCCTAAAATGATCGGGGTCCTTTGGGCCTCACTTTAGAACCACAACAAAAACAGACACCAATTGATGTTCAGCCTGGATCTCAATGCTTGTCTTGTCAGGGTCCTGTTGAACCTTTGATCTCCAGATCTGGCTGGGGATAGGTGGATTGACATGGACCTTGTTCTGTTTCTTATGGAAATGAACGGGGTGCCAACAAGGGTTCCCTAATCTTGACAATTTGCAAGGTTTCCCATAAAGAGCTTCTTGTGGATGACGTTTCTTTCCCAGATTTGGGAAACGATGGCTCTTGCTAATTAGGACGTCCTCTGGGAACGCATAGGAAAGTTCTCTGTTTGAACCCGGTGCGGAAGCCTTTAGGTTCCTCCCTCTGGCTCAAATCAGTCCGCAAAACCTTATGCCGCATGGATCCCTGTGGTTTCCCTTGGTGTTCCATGGCTTGACTTGGATTTGGGATTACGTTTTGAACAACCCAGTTCATAGTTCTGGGACGTCAGATCTTAGGCCCGCCTGCTTTCAAAGTGACAAGGTGTTTGCATGGTCCATGGTATCACAGAAAGGGTCAATTCAACCACAACTGGGGGTGCTGTTTTTTTCTGAGGCTACCTTTTCTTTTGGTGTAAGAGCTACCAGGCCACAACCGAAGCCACTGTGGGTTTTTGCCCCGGGGCTTGGTGTCCTTCTGGTTTCCCCGTTTACAAAACCAACCTAACAAGCTAGCCACACAAAACGACACACCCAAAAGGAAGGTAGGACAGCCATGATCCAAGGATTGCCGCCGGCGCCGCTTCCGTCGCCGTTTCCGGCGTGGTGCCTGTCCTGGCGATTGACCATGCCACTGCCCTGGGCTCGGTGCAGGTTCTGCAATTGGCATCCCACGGCACGCTGGGGAACGTGCTCGACAAGACGCTGGGCTGAGAACTTCTTCTATAGGGGTTCATATCGATTCCATTCTTTGCAAGCATCGTTCTTTTCAAAAACCAGCTGTTTCCCGAAAATTTTGGTTTCCTGAAAAGATTCGGATCTCTGGAAAGAATGGAAATGGAAGGTGCCCCTAGACTTCTCTTCCCTCGATCGCCCCCTGAAAAGGAGATCTCCCTCGATCGGAGCCGATCGTTGTTTTTCAGGGGGAGTTAAAAAACGAGCCCCAACAAACAACACATACTTGCTTAGGACTGTCCTTCTATTGTTTTAAAGGGGATCTATGACTACTGGACATATATGGGAGTGTCTTTTTTGAAGGTACCCCCTTTTGATTGGGTTTAAAGGGACACCAAAAGGAACACCATTTTGGGGATCCGCTGAAAAAGACGCAAGATGCACCTCAAACTTTTCGCTGATTTGAGATTGCGGAATCCCCTGCGGCGTACATTTCGAGTTCCAAGTTGGACCCCTGGGAATTGTTGCTATCAGTTCAGTGGGAATCCGCCTGGTGTCACTTTCTTTGAGTAGGACCACCTGGAACAACACGATGCCAGGTGTGTTGTCCTTTGCTAAAGTTGATACCCTATGAATCAACCCCAGTTTATTAATAGGTGGGGGCCCCTCCAAAAGTGAAGAATCCCCACTAAAAACAGGGACACACCCATATGAAGAAACAGGGGTTGCTGAATAGGCGGTGTTCATTAAGCCTCAACCAATTGACGAACATTCTAGGGGTTGTTTCCCCATTCTTTTCATGGGGAAGTTACCCCTAGAAACCTGTGGGTATGGGTAAAAGTTAAACCAGCAGGGGACCGCAGGTTTTGGTCCATGTTTCCACGTACCAGGGTTCCATTTGGGGATTAGCCTATTTTTGACCCACAGCCATGTGTGTCTGTGGTTCTGGCTGCGGTCGCAAGGAACGGCGTGCGCTGCAGCGGTACTTTGCTGGCCATGATCGAGAGCATGGCCATAGGCGGGCGAGCAGAAAGGATCCGCTGGTAAAACGGGCTATGATGTGCGTCCTTGGGGATCCATGTCTTTTTCAGGTACTTGGATGGTTTGGGACGAATCGCTAAGTGGTTAGCTTTGCCCTAGTGGTAACCCATTTACTATGGTAAAGTAAGTCACCGATAGCCAGGGTTACTCGCCATTTCTCGCTAAGTCCCAGAACATCCAAGTATGGACTGTTTTATGGTCTCGCTTGTGAACGTTGCGAATTTCCTGGGGATCCATGTCTTTTTACTTTTCTTTTTAATTTTCAGATATGGTTGCCTTTGGTGCATGCTGTCTTTGAGTCTTTTGGGCTACAGGCTCACCTTTTGTTTTTAAAGAGGCACCGTGTGAAGATTGCGGGGTGTGTAAAAAATAGGGGTGCCCTTAAAACGGGTGACCCCCCTATTGACCTTTAAACCAACATCAAAAGCGCGCGACCTAAAAAAGAGACACGCGGGCTGCTGTGCGCTTTTGGAAGGATGCAACATTGCAGCTTAGCCAGTTGGGGCTTTCCGAGAAGAGGGGTAATTGTCAGGGACCCCACCAGCCGCTTCCGAGGACCCTTCCCCTTGGGTAGGCCAAGGACTTAAGTCTAGGCTTCCTTGCCCGCATGAAAAGAATCGGCGCCCCGATTCGGATGATGAAGCCCCTTCGATAAACAAGGTTTTTTTTTTGTTTTTTCTCCCTCTTGTTTTAGTGGAGGTTTTTTACTGGAGGTTTTTACTGGAGGTTGTCCCTCTAGTGGAGGTTTCTACTGGAGGTTGTAAATCTCGGCAAGGCCTGGGCAATGTCTTCGGTTCATTTCTGGAGACTCGAATTCGGAGATACCAACCGCTTCCTCGTGACTTTACCCTCATAGGGCGTATTCACCACACCTTAGATTGCTATACCGGCCGTTAAACCTCTTTTTGGCTCATGTATAGTCAACGCCCCAAAAGGTGATCATCTATATTTGCCACCTCGGCTTGTGTTTGCAACAACATATTATATTATATTGTATATATGTTTGTTGTAGACATATATATATATATGTATACATGTACATATTGCACATGTATATGCATATGTTATGCATCACATATTTCATGTTGTATAATGTTGACCCCATGTTAATCAACTCCATTTTATTTTTCAAGCAAATAAATATCAACAAAAGTTGTGGTTGAAACCATAGTCTAAAAGTGACGCGAAATGGATTTGGTCCATCCACACAGTATTATGTACATACATGTAGACATGTGCATCATGTTGACCCCATAATCATCAACCCCAGTTTATAAATTGGAGGGGTGTCGCTGGGTTTAGTGTGGAAGCATCACATATTATCTTTGGTGCATTTTGCTTGCCAACTAATGGGTTTTCCATTAAACCAAACAATAGCAGGGGAGCAGAAATCAACCGAGTTATATCATACCCCAACCCGACTTTTTTCGCCAGGCTTGTCGGAGCTTCATATGCTGCAGATCCTGCACTGCGACCTGAAACCCGAGAACGTGGCGATCCACGCGACAGGCGGCGGCACCGCTGAGCTATGGCTCATCGACTTTGGGGATGCCAGGCTTGCGGATGACTGGCCCCCTGGCAGTCCGTGCGTGTGTGTTACAATGCGTGTTTGTTTGTGAGCCTGCTCTTTTGGATGGTGTTAAAGGGAGACCAAAAAGGAACCCCTCCCCCCCATTCTGGGGGGCTCCCCGATTTTGTGGCAAACCCCCAACATTGGCGACCCGCTTCGTTGCTTGGTTTCCTTTTGGCGCTGTTCGCACCAACCCCAAGAAGGGCACGCCGCGTCTCGGCTGCGACCTCTTTCAGGGCGCCCAATAGTTCTGCCTAGGGATGGGTGTTAAACATCACTTTTGTGGATCCCCCCAGATTTGACGTCATTTTGGGGGGTGATGTTTCAAGGGGAGTCATTTTGGGGGGTGATGTTTCAAAATAGAGTAGAAGGAACCCCACCAAAGGGAAGCTCACTTCGGAGTTTCGCCGCCAAAAGTGATGTTTAAGACTGGGCAAAATAGGGCGTTGGAACGTGGCGCGATTTTGAAGTTTGATTGAACAATAGCGGCTTCTGGCCTCCTACTTAGGTGGTCCGGGACTTAGCTAAATCGATAATAACCCTGGTTTTAAAAAAACTTATAACCATGGCAAGTGGCTTACAACTAGGGTTACTAGCCAGTTAGATAAGTCCCAGGCCATCTAAGTAAGGGACGCTGAAGAGAGTTTGATTAAACCACATTGGTTTGAACAACTTTGAACAGGTGGGGCCATTTGGAACACGATCGCGGGGTAAGTCCTTTTAACATTTTGCAGTCTACCTTGACCACATTTCGTTTCAACCAGTCCCTGCCCTTTCCCCCCTTTGAAGGGGCCCAACCCCGGCTGCATCTCTTTTGACCATACCAAGGCCAGTGGAGCATGTTTTGGGTTGTTCGGGAAGAATACCTGTTTGGAGGACTTGTGTCTTTTGCTGTGAAGGGTTGGGCGAAGCTGGTTGGACCGATCAAGCCACCCAGTAATCTTACACCGACATACTCCAAGTTTCAAGAAAGCGAACCCAAAGTGAAATGGGACTCAAATAACATGGTGACAGTTTTTCTAGAGGGGTATGTACGGTACGGGTCAAAATTGAACCACCATGAGACCGCAGGTTTCAGTCCATATTTCCATCAACCAGGCCTGAATTTGAGCCACAGTATCCCAGAGGGTCCCAACAGCTACCTCGAGGAATCTGGAATTGACCTGCCAATCCCCTTGAACTAAACCCACCGCAAAATTTGGGGAACCCCCAGTCCTTCGTCCCATTTTGGATAGGTACGGAAGTGGGTTCCAGACCTCCCCAGGGCCCTTCTGAGGTCTGAGTGGCACCTGCAGGGTCCTGGGGACCCCGCCATCAAATGCAGCTCAGCTTCACAAAAATTCGCCTGTGCGCCTGGACGTCCCGCGCTGAACACATGGAAGTAACGGAGGGGGGTGACTTTTGGAGATCTCCACGTATGGTCCCATTTGCCCCTTTTTCTCACGGGGAAACTACAATGATGGAACTGGGGGACCCCGCAGGTCAAACAAACACTATGCGGGAGAATTGCCCCAAGACACTACGGGGTCATGTCACGGTCCAGTTGTTTTTTTTGTTTTTCCAAGACACGCCTTTTGTGCCCTCCCTTGTGAACAGAGAGCTTCGGTAGAATTCGGCAAACACGTCCACTGGTGTCAGTTTCTCCTTTGCTGTGGAGGGTATTCCCTGGAAAGCAATTCGGATGGTGGATTGTTGCGAAATCCATTTCGCACTGAGAAACCCTGGTTTCTGATTCGATTCTCCCGCAAACACCAACAAGCGCCATGGTTTTTCATGGTTTCAAAGTGGTGGAGGATTTTGTCCATCCACAGTATGGAATTCGGTCATGTGCTCCCAAGTATCCATGGCTGCCCGGATTGTACCCAAAACCAGTGAAGTCTACTGAAAACCCATGGGGGATTCAACGGCTTTCTTGCTGCACCGATGTGTGGCTGGACTGTTCCCTATTCTACCTGGAGTCTCCATGACCCTTAAAAAATGGTTGGTCATTCCCCAAAATAATGGTTGGTCATTGACCCATTTTTATTTCGGGTCAGAAGGAGACTCCAGGTACCCGGGTTTCTCTTTTTGTTGCAGTTAGCCCCCCCCCTGAGCATCTCCAAACAAGGAGACTACGCGACAACAGCAACAGAGGCGCCACTTGTTGCAAGCGTGCACCGGACACCGCTCAGCGAAAGCAAAAGCAGCAAGAACCACCGAGTTGTCCGCGAGTACATATGTGTTGGTTGTGAACGGCAGTCAGGCCACCCGAAGTTGGTGGTTTGCAGGTTGAACTTCTGTTTGTTGTTTCATCAAGTCCAAATGGGAAGTCACTGACGGCTAAGTTTTTGTGAGTTTCCTTGGCGGAGTGAGGCTTGAAGGGGAAATATCGAGAACACTCTTTGGCCACTACTGGCAAATGCCGGCAACGACCGAAGGCAACACATTTGCTGGTTGTACTTTCAATGAACATACTCCACATTTGCAAAGCAATGGGTGCTCAGTTGTTCAAAGCGAATCGACCAGAAAGCACGTTTTCGTTTTCCCGTGTTGGGCTCCCATCCCCGGAGTCTCCGTGACAAGAATCAAAAACGGGGTCATGACCCCGACTGATTTTGGGGACCAACCATTTTTGAAAGGTCAGAAGGAGACTCCAGGTATTTGGCTGTGGGTCAAAACCAGTTGTACCATTTGGGGGTAGGTGCACACCCATTTTAGAACCTATTTTAGCGGTTGGATTGAATCCGATGTTCACCGGGGGCTAACCGAGTTGGATTTCCCATGGCCATGTCACTCAAGCCTCCTCCCCCCTCAAAAAAAACCTGTCATGACTCAATTGGGTTTTTATAGAACCCATTTCATCATGGCCTCAGGCGATCACCTTCAGGCCTTCAGGTTCCAGGTCGCCAATTCGACTTCGCCGATTCGCCCAGGCAAGCCCGACGTTCAGTCCAACAACTTCTCGGAAGCCACGGACATGTGGCTCAGCGACCCAAGCAGATCGACCCTTTTGACTCGTTTGGGTTCGGCTGTTTGAGGTGCCTGGAGTCTCCAAATCTGACCCGAAATAAACATGGGTACAATGACCAACCATGATTTTTCGGGGAATGACACGTTTTTTACGGGGTCGGTTGAAACCAAAAGGGTCAAAAGGTCGATCTGCTTTGGGTATCTGCTTTGACTCAAACTACTGAAATTCAGCTGTTTGAGACATGTATTCCCCTTTTTCTCTTGTTTTCCCTCTTTGTTTCTCAACTGATTTTGTCTTTTGTCCGCAGTTTCCATTTTTGCCCAATCTTTTCGCCCACATGTTTTGTCTTTTGCTGCCCTTACCTGCAGTCTCCATGACCCCTAAAGAATGGGTCAATAACCAACCATTTTTTTGGACAATGACCAACCATGTTTTACGGGTCAGAAGGAGACTCCGGGTGGTTGCCGCCTTGTTCGATTTTGCTAGGGGCACCTTCCACTTTCATTCTTTCCAGGGATCCTTCTTTCCAGGAAACCATCAAAAAACCAGAAAACAACAGATCCGGTTTTTGAAAAGAACGATGCTTGAAAGGAATCAGAAAGGAATCAACTCCTAGAGTTTGAGCCCCGTCCCGGTGCTCGACCCTCGTGTCCTTTAGCGAGGTGGTGTCTGGCACAAACCGTCGCCTGGCTCTTCGAGGGGCGGCAGCCCCACAATCCGGCGCATCTCAGCGGCCAGATGCCCGGCTCAGAGCTAGCACAGGTTTTTTGTTTCCCGAGTTTCCTATGTTTTTTTGTTTTTGGTACCAACCTTTTGGTTGGGACCTAGATGGCCTGGAACTTAGATGGCCTGGGACTTAGCTAAGTGGTTAGTAACCCTAGTTGTACCCATTTACCATGGTTGATGCCCGGCTCGAAGGTGGAATCATTCCAGGATTTAGGTGGCGCAGGATTGCGTTCATCTACTCTACAGGGGGGCTACCGACCCATTTGGTTTGTTTTTCAGGCTGCACGTGTTTTTTGTTTGCCGAGTTCCTATTTGGGTGCCTCTTGTGGCGGCTGCTAACCCTTTCGGTTGGTCTTTACATGATTGTTTTCGAGTTTCTGTTTGGGGGTGTCGTTTGTGGAGCTGGTACCCACCCTTTTGGTTTATTCTTGACAGGACACCGAAAGGAAGACCGTTGCGCCGTTGTTGGGGGCCCTTATAAGCAACCCAACAACAGTTATCCTCAACAAACATGCCCACCCATTTGGCAGGCAAGAAAATGGATCCCGTGCAAGTTAACATTGCACCAAAGGAAGGAAATATGGCTGTGGGTCAAAATAGGTACTTGACATGGAACCCTGGTACGTGGAAACATGGACCAAAACCTGGGTAACCCCTGCTGTTTAATTTTGAGCCACACCCATATAGGCGTTTCTAAGGTTCCATGTTACTTGGAAACTGATAATTCAATCCCATAAGGATTTTAAATTAAGTGGATTTGAGACAAAGAGAAAGCGTGGAAAGTGCTGAATGTTGGGCATATGTTCAATTTGTTCAATTGCCAGATACCTGTCCCATTCAGTTTCCATCTTTCTGGGTATCCCCACTTGGAACACGAACCCCTGGAAGTTCATTTACGGTCCCATTGATCCTTTTCTGGGGACGGGTTTTGTTTGTTGCTTTGCTTTTAGACCTGTAGACTTTAACTGGTTTTCACCAAACGGCGAAATGTGAATCTTGGCGGTTCCAAGTCTCCAGACTTCAACTCTTTGGGAACTTGGTCCTAGCCGTCCGGTTCCTTTGGTCTGTAGTTGTCTTTGGTTTAGCGGTTAGTCCTTTTTGCAGGGGATACCCAGGTTCCGAGTGGAGAACCCTATCTTAGATACCCTATCTTTAGCCCGCGGTTTAGAATCTGGGTTGGTTTAGCGGTTGGGTTTCATGACCCTCTCCTAGGGTAGGGTTCATTTTGTTCTGGGCAGAGTTAATTTTGTTCTGGGCGCGACCCTCCCCTAGGGCCCTTGCCTGGACCCATAATTTTGCCCGAGCAACTCTCCGAGGGTAGAGTTATTTTTTTGCAAGACATTCCATGGCGGAGAGTTGCTGGGGCAGAAATCCGCACCTGTGTCTGCGTCCAGGCAAGTGGCATCCTGAAAATCTTATCTGCGCCAAGTTGTGGTTTAACGCCAAACCACCGAGTGCCAAAAGTCATTTGGAGAACAGGTCCTTGAAAATGCAACCACTTCAATTAATGGACCCGATGTTTGCCCTTGTTCCTGGGTTCACAGCTCAATTCTGCGGTTTGCATTTTGTGTGCTTTCTCATTTTAGTCCTAGGCACTTGAATCCGGGGCTGTTGCTTTCCCCGCATTTTGGAAGAACCCTGGTGCATTGATAGGGTGCTGGTGGTGGTGGTGGTGGTGGTGGTGGTGGTGGTGGTGGTGGTGGTGGTCGTCGTCCAGTTCAGAGTGGGGGGGAGGTCATTCACTTTTTGGGAAAACACCCTGATAATAATGTATAGTAGTTTATAGAGTTAATCAATTCTGGGTCAACATTAGTTCTTTGCGTGTGGAGCTGTTTCCAAAAGGATCCCCTTTTTGGATGTCTTAGAGAAGCCATAAGGAAACTAAACACCTCGAGAGTCTCTCGTTGTCTTGTATTGCTGGGTTCCGTTGTTTCAAGGTTCCACTATCTGTTTCTCTGTTGCGTGTGTTGTGTTTGCTTCTTCTGTTCCCTGCGTTGCTGAACCAGAAGCAAGCCCCATCACATTGACCTTGCTTCCCCCTGCGGTGGTCTTCCCTTTAATCATGAGAACTAGTAGGCAGCAAAGATGTGCAACCAGCAAAATGACTAGGGTCTCCCTCAACCCCCGCATCGCCTGAATTGTTTCCGGAATTGAGCAGCACCCAAAACCACCATTGGCCTTCTTAGTAGTTGTTTCGACTACCTGGTCTGGTTTCACAAGGCTTATAGTAAGGCTTATATGAACCTTTACATCCATGTTAGTAGAACCAACAGTTCATCAGTTTTGGTCGCCCAATGGAATGTCAAGCAAAGACCCGCAAACACATAGGTATCCTTTCTGGAATAGCTTGGTTAGAAGTAGATGGGTTCCACTGGTTTAGACCTGGTGAATCTATCAATGTTTGCAAAAGGTCACCTATGCCCAGACACCTTGTTGCCTTGACCTGTTTCCCCTCGTTTTGGTCGAGGCTCCTTTATAGCCAAGCTGCCAAACAGCTCGAGTGTCCTATCTATAAAACGGTTTGGATGCGTTTGTTTGTGCGGACTGCCCCTTTTAGCCCCCCTGTAGGATCGTTTTGGTACTCTTTTCGTACTCTTGTAATACGGTTGATGGACGAAATCCTGCACCACCTAAGAAACCCTGGAATGATGGTTCCTCTGTAAATACCGACAAACATTGTTTTCCCATGGTTTCGAAGCGGTGCGAAATGGATTTCGTCTATCCACAGTATTCAGGGGTGGATTCCGCCGCATCCAAACCGTTTTCTGGCTCCCTGGTGGCGTCTTAGTTCATTCAGGATGCCGATGAGCCAACTTTTGTCCTGGTGCCTGTCCTGGACGCTTGGATTGGGTTCGGGCTTCAGGCTTCTCAAGAAGAACGATCCATTTGTGCGCATGGGTCAAAACAAAACCACCAGGATTTGGACCGCAGGGTTTTTGTCTTTGGTTCCATTTACCAGGGTTCCATTTTCGGAACGCATTTTTGACCCACTGCCACTTGGGTATGGGTCAAACTTCAAGCATCAGGAATGGGACGACAGGTTTTTTGTTCCATCTTGGGTGCTTATTGTTGGCAACAGCCGTGTCACCCTTGGGTAGGGAGGCCTTTCCAGCAACCCAGGTTAGGGTGTCTGGAAGGCTTCAACAGGTGAGGTGTCCACTTTCTGCGAGGCAATCCGCCGAAGTCAGGAACCGTTCCTGAAGTCTGGGCAGGTGCGGCCTTTAAACCCAAAAGGTCCCTTGGTACCCCATATTCACGGTTTTTGTGTTTGGTTCAAATGGATTGGTCAACTGACTAGGTCCCCCAGTAGTGCCCTTTTACCCTTTTTTGAGGGGAGGGCTCCCCTACTAAAATAGACTACAGAAAAAAGGTAGCAATTTATTCTATCCTCTCTACTGGAGGACCTAGCTGCGGTACCCTTTGGGCCTGTTGGGGGGGGTTTCTTCCGCCCGGGCGATTCTTTCTGCCGAGGTCACCCAAGGACCGCCCCACCGCGCCGTCGGTGGTCCAAGCGGCCCAAGACGAGCGCCGCGAGATCGGGGAGGTGCCGCGGGAGATTTGGCTTGGAGGCAGGGGGGGGGGAGCCTTACAAAGTCAAAGGATGGCAGGATGGCACCCGCAGTCCAAGTGGAGAACGGGTTCCCGAGAACAGAGTCTTCACCTTCAGAGTCGTCAGGTCGTCAGATTGTTGGAGGGTCCAGGTGCCCGAAACCCCGGCTGAAGGCAATCCGCTTGCGCATCCCTCGGGTTTGGAGAGGATTTGGCCCCCTTTGCCGCGGTCCTGTAGCTGGATTCGGGATTTGGATTGACCAGCCCTCCATTTTGAACAGCCCAGAAAACGCAAAATTAATCTTTATGATTTGAATGGACCTCAGGCAGCCAGAACTGGGCAAATTATCTACAGTTCCCAAACTGAAAATGAGCGACCCTCTCAGGAAGGACCAGCATCATGATCCTTTTCTTTTGGGTAGCGACCCGACTTTTTGAAGGGTCATGGAGACTCCAGGTGATTTCAAAACCTGTCAAAGGCCTGCTGGACCCTGCGTGAGCCGAGCTTCGAATTCGGCGACTTCGCCGGCTGCAAGGTTTTGACATTTGCGTCGGCCGTACAGGACGTAGTACCTAGCGGTTTCCCCAGCCCCATGTATGGAAGGGGCGGGGCCGTGCACCCCCAAGACATGGACATGATGTATGGAGAGGGGCACACAAGCTCTTGGGGGTGGCGATATACCGGCAGATGTTAGATGCACGGCGCGAGAGCATGCGGTTGCCGCGGCAACCACGTTCGATGCCCTGCAAAGAAAAGTGACGGAAGGTCGGAAGGTTTGCTGATGCGCTCTGGCCAAGCACAGCTGCACGCTTGCGAAAGATGGGCAAGAGGGCAGTTTCTCAAGCTCTGCAGCACGTGGGTGTTTCTCGCAACAGCGGACCCTTAAACTGGCTTGTTTCCTTGGTTCCCCTTTTCATCCAAAAGGGGGTCCACTGTTTTGAGAGACCACCCCCAAGACTGTGTCAACTTGCTATTTGGTGTTTTTTAGATGACAATGTCGTGGATGTTGCGATTGACACTTGGCAAATTTTGCAGGTCATATTCGAGGCACGGCATGGTCTTTGCGCGAAGTCTTCATCTTGTTTGCTCACTCCGACTCACTCCTGCAACAACCTTTCGACCTGTTATAATAATATTAAGGCACCAAGAAAATGACTACTTTTAAGGGAATCCAAACTGATTAAACATTGATTTCCTGGATTTGAAGGCGACAATCTGGGTGGGCTCCCCTAAAACTTGCTTGGTTCTATGATGGCTTTGTCGTAAACGCGACCAAACAAGGGGTTCATTTCCCACTTTCACGCCGCACACATTTAGACACGTGTTGCTGACCTTTTGGACTGCGATTTAGACTTCCATGTTCCCTTTTGTCTGGAGAACATCAAAGTAGAGTATTGGGAAGGCTCCCCATCCGCAGGGTAGGGGGGGACATATTGGCCCCATGCTCCGGTCGTACTCCCAGCTTTGTCACAGGGCCGCGGACGGTCGTTATCCAGGCGAGACTGTGAGACAGGGCTCAGTTTGAGACATGGGGGTGTGTTTCTTTGAGGATACTTTGTTACTTTTCACCCTGGTTGAAGCGAATACCAACAAGAAAACAACCTTTTGTTTTGTTCGATATTGACACACACCCACATGGCTTCCCGTTTTGTTTGATCCACATGTGTTTGGCTGCTATTCTGCTGTTTCTAGCTGCCACCCGAATGTTGATGGTTTGTTTATCCAGGGTCCCGTATGTGTATGTCCCGTTTCCTGGTTCAGGCATCACCTTTTGGGCCAAGTCTACACACACTTCCTATGGTAGAGTGATGTTTAGGGGAATCTAGGGAGCCCTGCTATTCTTTTGCATGAATAGAACAAGAACCGCCATTTAAAGGCTTGCCACTGGAGGTTTAAATCACAGGAGATAAAAGAGGTGCATGACCTGCATGTTGCAAGTAAGGGAACAATGAAAGCCTCATGGCCTTTTTTTTCCCGGTATGGTTGGTTTACTTGCGATATGGTAGGTGCATCCGTAGCTGAGCAACGGTTGCTTTTCGCATGGGGGATCTGTCCGGTTTCCATCAGTCACGTGGACTTGGACCGACTTGAGCTGCGCAGACCATAGGTGTCCTTTTTGGTTGGTTTGCGTAAACACAAAAATAGAGGGCCCTGGTTCAGATGGGAGTTATGCCACGGAATCGATCTTTCCAAAAGGCCACCCATGGCGCGGACTGTTTGATGAGTCTTGAAGGTTGAGACATCGCCCTGGGTTCGGTATCCAGATCTCCAGTGGGGCAGGTCCTTTTCCCTTGTTTTTGGAGGGGAGTTCCCTTTAAAAGCAAGTACATCACTAAGTACATCCCAAATATCGAGTGCAATAGCCAATCTGCCAATGACATAAAACATGTGTGATTGTTTTGTTTTGATATTACGTATAAGCTTATATAAACCAACATAAATCTATTTATACATATATATATATATATATACACATATTTGCCTAGGGCCTGGGGTCTGGGATCAGACTAGATTGAACACATGGAAGGATGTGACACTTACCCAACAATATGTTGCACACTGGTGATGTGTCACTCACTTTGTGTCACTCAAAGTTGGATGCCTTACTGGAGATTGAAGGCGAGTCATGTGCAACAACCACTTTGAGGTGGTTGCAACTCTTGAAATTCATAGCCATATGTTGAGACGAGAGGAGCATAGAAATGACCTCTGCCATGATGCATTCAAGGCCTTTGCAAAAGAGTCGGCAGCTTGTGTGCAAGCAAAACACCTGGAGGGGAATTTGTGCTCCCTATATTTCCCCTTGCACCCTGTGGGCCAATTTCACATGCGTTTCCTTTTCGTGGGATGATGGTTGAAGGAGAAGTATAATGTTGACCCCATATGAATCATCCCCAGTTTTTTCATAGCGGGGGGTGCCCCCGGGTGTGAAAACCACCCATTAGTAATCTGGTTGGTAGATCAACATGGGGTCAGCATTCGCGAACCCTCATGCTTGCGGTTTGTCGCGCCACTCTAGCGAGGAGAGCTGATACATTTAACGCCCTCGACCTGGATAGAGCTCCACAAGTCCACGAACCCAGAGGCCCACAGTCCAAACGCAAAAAGGGAAGGCCACGTTTTCAAGAACCAACAGCGGGTGGTCTCTCTTTTCTAAAGGTGTCCTTTTAGGTTCTTTAGGCTACAAATAGACGAAATAGATGGGTTCTACTGGTTCAGATTGGTTGTACCACTTGCCAGGTCCATCTATTCTTCCAAAAAGGCCACGCATACCCATTCAGGTCCAATCCACCCCCCCGGAGGTCGCGGGACCGGCAAGAGATCAACGCAAGCCTGGCGCCGGAGGCGGTGGCTGGGCCGTACCCCTCTGAGCCCCCCCACATGCCCCCAGTGCAACCCCGGACTTGTCCGACTTTGGGGGTTGGTGAACCGGGGGATTCGTCAGCTTCTCACAAAGTCTGCGGACATTTGAGAGCCTTTGGGCTCGGACAACTGATCCTTGGAGGGAACGAAGCAATCTAATCAGGTCGAATCATGGCCGCCGGCTGCACGGCCGCGAGGTTTTCCCGGCTAAAGTATCTTACCCCAAGAGCTTTCCTGGAGTTGCAGACCCAAAAGTTTGGATTCCAGACAGAGGAAGCCTTGCCTCACTTCAAGTGGGAGTGGCTGTTGTTAACTGCAACGAATGTGCTTTTAGGGACCCCAGAACGAAGCCAACAAGAACAACAGGGGCAAAGTCCACTTCGCATTCCACCAAAGACCCCCCGGATGAATCAGTTTTCGTGTGAGGCCATTGGGGCAATCGGAAAGCTCCTCTGATCGTCTTCCAGATCTATCCATAGCTAGGTGTGTGTGTGTGTGTGTCTCTGTGTGTGTGTGTGTGTGCGTGTGTCTTCTGTTGAGAGTACTTTTTTGGATGGTTTTCAAGGGAAACCAAAAGCACACCTTGCATTTGTTGGGAATCAACCCGTTTTGAAGCCAACCCACCAACATTTGGAGCAGCTTTCTTCTCGTTACCTTGTGAGTGCCGCACCTTTTCAAGCGACCTTCCATGAGGGGTCATTTGGTAAATCTTGGGCATGTGTCAAAACAGGGGGACCGCCCCCCCAACAAAAGATAGTGTGTCTTTTGGCTTCCCTCTTAAAGGGGACAAGGGAACCGAGGCAGCAAATCACAAGCTCAGGTAAATGCTCGGGCTGGTTGACCAAGTTTAAAGGTTGGTACCACCCAGTTTGAAGGATTCATACACACTGGTAGCAGCAAGGTTAATCCCGGATTTTCGTGCATTCGTGATTGATCACTACTTGGGGGGTGGCCCATCTTAGTTGGAATTCTCAGTTTTGTGAGTGACACACCCCTAGTAGGACGGGTTGATTCATCCGGGGGCAACATTACCGTTTTTCCAATGGACGTGGAGTGGGGAGTTGCGTCCACAAAATAACCTTGCTAAGACCCAAATTCTAGATAAACACACAACCCCCAAAAAGCGCTCACAGGGTTCCAACAAAGGGAGATCCCTCCAACATCCACGGCATGCTACAAGGGAACCAGTAAAACACTGTAAAAAAACAACCGCAAATGACCTTGTGATTTGGTGGTTGCATGATAGGAGCCACAAACTGGATTCTCTTGAGTTCCCTCGGTTTTCGTTTCCCTCGGTTTTCCCATGGTTTCCCTCGGTTTTCCCATGGTTTCCCTCGGTTTTCCCATGGTTTCGGTTTTTTTTGACAGACGCCCCAGAAAAATCGGCCGAGCCAGCCGCCTCCACAGGTGGCGGCGCTGCACGGGCGGCTGACCGCCATCCGGGCCGAAGTGGCGCGAGTGCTGCAGGAGCCCAACGGGGTGAACCTCCCAAGGAGTTTTCCGTGCTCGGCGGTGCACGGGTTTGAAACATTCTCCAGAACTGTTTTCTGTGGGCGCTACTCTCAAGTTTGTGTAAGGTCTCTTTAAAAAACTACAGAAAAAGTTGGTACCCTTATTCTAGCCTCTCTACTGCAGGACTTAGTTGCTGATCGGGGTTCATGGGCGTCCTTGAAACCTTCTCCAGAACTGTTTTCTGTACTTTTGGCAAATCGAAGGAAGTGATGCAGCATGCCCAAAATTGTACTGACTGGCAAGGCGAAAGAAATGTGATGCAGCATGCCCAAAATACAGTTTTGTGGTTGTTTTCTGTGTACGGATGTGGGCCAAGAAACTTGCTGCTTCTCAGAAGGGAATTAGGAGGGGTTTGGGAATGAACAAGTCGGGCTCCCCTCGAAGAAACCACGGGTTATGTTTATGAAAAGAAAGCCGGAGGTCCGATCCCTAAAAGGAGAGCTCTTTGACATTTTGGTGTCCCCCATGCTAACAGAGTCAGACATGGCGGATTAAGGCCCCGGGGAGGAAGGAACTAGCATAGATATTCCGTGGACCCTCATAAAATACTCCTAAAAATTGGAACTCCCTCATAACTTCCCAGAGGGTCCAAGTACCTCAATTTGCGGAATCTGCAATTGACGAATGCCTTTTTTGTTTCACCCAAACAGACACTAGACAACATGGGACCCTTTGAGTTTGGCGGCAGCATCTTCAGTTTTTCGGGTTCGGGGGTCCGTGCTCCGAGTCTTGGTTCGACGCAAGCTCTTGTTCGGGGTTTGGTCCAGTTTTTTGTTCAGACATTAGGAGCGTAACTTCTTTCTGCTCAATAATCTTCCCCTCAATTGGTTTCAAATTGAATCTATCACTGGAAATCGTTTTTTTTTTTTTTTCCGCATGAAGAGACTTAAGCAAATGGAAGGGAATGTTCACGTCGAATTCCTAACCTCCCTGCCCAGGCAGAAGGTTCAACCGATTTTCAGCGGGTTTGGGCCCAGAAGGCTGCGGGAGAAGGTACCCAGTAAAGGCTCTCCCACCTTTCTACGGGCCCCATCAAGAACCAGGGGTTCAAATCCACCACACCACGAATCCAAACCACTGCCACCAAGTAAGGCTAAGCCGAGTATATGGGCCAGAATCAACCACGCCCCTTACTCCACATACCCACCTCCTGCCTGCAAGACAGTTGATATTGTACCCTAAACAAATGATATTCGGATTCGGGGGTATGACTTTGAGTTGTTTGGAAACTGAGATACCCAATGCTTCCAGCTACCACTAGAGTAATTAGGCAACCAGGGGTTCCTCATGATGTAAAACCTAGAGGGGAACATACTTGAGTACCTACTATAGTAGAAACTGGAAGCACTGGGTGTGTGTCAAAACATGGGGGACGTCCCCAAAACCTGGCTGGTTTGCCAATTTTAGTGTTCCTTAAGGGAACGGATCCTCAACATCACAAACCCAGGCAAGTGCTTGGGTTGGTTGAGCAATGGCATAGGTTGGTACCCCAGTGGATCCATTTACCTGCAGAGTGGATATCCAAGGGCTTCCCACCCTTTAAAAGCAAAAAGAAAGATGGCTGGCTACCTACTAGGGTAACTGGGATCCACTGGGACAGGTTGACGCTTTAGGTCACCCTTTAAAGGCAAAAGTTTGCCTGGGATCCACGTTGAGTTGATTGGAAGCTGAGAGAGTCAAGTGCCCTGAAGGAGCTCCAGCAGTGCGACGAGTCGGACCCAGCGCTCCAGGCGAGTGGATTCACGCCACTCTCGTGGGCTGGCCTTGTGGTTTCTTGGCGTCGGGTGGGTGTCCCAAGAAAACTTGCTGCTGCGATAGGCAGGGAATGAGAAATGGAATAACCCCAAGAAAAATAATCCAACTGGTGGTTTGCTTAAAGGTAATCCCCAGGTTCATGAGCACCAGCAAGAACATAGACCGACTGACAGAGCAGCTCTTTTGTTTTGGGTGGGCTTCTCTCCAAAACCAGCCAAGCAACAGTGTCCTTGGTTTCGGGTTGCCTTCCGAGAAAAAAAAGGAAGCCAGCAACACATGGACTTGCGTCTTGTTATTGATGGGTTTCACTTCCAAGCTCGGCGCGGGGCCTTCACATTCCCTTTGAGGGAAAAAGCTCAAGATTTCCTGCTTTGAAACATTTTCTTGGCTGTTGCGGAAATGAAGCGGTGGACCGAGACGCAAACTCAAATGAATCGTGTAAGGGCCAGTAGGATGGATATCAACAAGTCTTCCCCTTGGGTTAGTTTTGTTTCGTTCCAAATCAACCCAACAGAGGACAAACACGGGGTGAGGGGCTCTTTGAGGTAATTTCAGGTTGGTATTTGTCCAAAATTATTCGCCCAGATGGCATTTGCCAGACTGATTCAACATAACCTTTATTCAGCACAGGATGGAATGTTCCCTTGCTTCCCAGATCCTACACTCATTCCGACACTCCAGGCAATAGCAGAAGGTGTTGAGGACGCTGTTTCGAGGCCATTGTCTTCGAAGTATTGGATCAGTATTTGGGGGAACTCTCCTTTTTTGCGGATGCACCGCAGAGGCCATTTTGGTGACGAAAACGTTCGCGTACCTCGAGTCTCCAGGAGTCTCCAGGAGTCTCCAGGACCCGAAATAACAATGGGTCAATAACCAACCATTATTTTGGGCAATGACCAACTATTTTTTAAGGGTCATGGAGACTCCAGGTAGACGTGCTTCGCCTTGCACAAACTGAAGAGTAGCGCCCGGGAAAAATGTGCGTAGGGACTCCACGTAGGCGCTTGTTGCGGTATAGGCTGCCGTAGGCTCGCTTAGGCATGGTTGCCAGTGCATAGGGCAGACACCCCCAAAAGAGACTCTACTCTGTTGTTGAGCGGATTGCACCCTTTGAGTCCTTTTTGTGTTTGGTGGGTTCACGACCGACTAAAATGCAAACAGGCGTCCATTTTCCTAGGGAATTACTGTAACCCTAACATAATTGGTTGGTGGTTTGGATTGTGGTTTAGGGATTTGACCAACCCATCAATCCAAGCCAATTCGAGGGCAGCTGACTCTTGCAACAAGAGGAATGACGTGGGGTGCACTCACCAACATACTGGTGTAAGAATCGGGGGCTCACCAAAATCCAACATCTTCGGGGAAACAGCGATCAACCGTGGCTCATGCCCAATTAGAGGGAAGTTGAGGTTAGGGAAAAGTTTGACAGTGTATGGGTATGGGTCAAAATTACAACACCTGGGGACTGCGAATTTTAGTCCTTAGTTCCATTTACCCGGGTCCCATTTTGGGTACCTATTTTTGACCCACAGCCATATCAATGGGACGCCATCCATCTTGAGGCTTCGCCCATTTGACTGACACGAGGGTTGGTCCTTCCTGGGGGCGCGCTGGCGGCACACAATTTACTTGGCCAAAGCGAATCGACCTTTTGACCTTTTGGTTTCCCCTGTTGGATGATTTCGAGTCACCTTTTTTTGGTTTCTCCTTTTTGTATCCCTTATGAGTTGACCTCTTGGTTCCCCGTGTTGGTTTCCCCGTATTGGTTCTAAAAGGTGAGCAACTTGTCTGGGTCCTTTGACAACCAAGTTGGCCCCTCAATCTACAGTTTGGGTTGCGTAGTTTGGGGGTCAAGGAACCTGTTGGTTGATTTTAAGGAAACCACATCAAAGCCGTTGTTCCTTATCTCCACTGTTGTTGGCATTTGTTTGTTTGGGTTGTTTGTTGTTGTTGGCTCTGTTCATTTGTAGTGGGCTGCAAAAACAAAGTTTGTTGCTCTTAGTAAGTAGGTTATAAGCATAATAAGGAGACGATCACCCGAGTCACCAACCACTTATAGTCTAACTCATAGTTATACCCTACTCGGTCCTGACGTTGTTTTTCACTTCCAATAATCTTTGGTAAGTCACGCTGACCCGGGACGAACGATTTTTTCACGCACTGAACGGGGACAAGCAACCCCCGGCCCCCCCGCCCCAACCAAAGGGACGTCCCCGGTTGGGCGGAAGGAAGCTAAGTCATGGTTGGAAGGAGACTCACCCCAGTTACCAACACCTTACAACCACAGCTGGGGTAGACTTGGCATACGCTTTACATTTTACCAGTGACTCAAAGTGAAGCAACCAATGCAATAAGATATACATTCTATAACTGGGCCTTACTCTAATCGTGACAGGTTCTATCCTGCCTGACGTGGTTTTTTTCTGCATCCAAACAGCTCCCTGTGGGTCGAAGCAGGGACTCCGGGTCCCCGCCCCCCGCCCAAAGGAAGGCTTCCTCGCGCGGTCGGAGGCGCAGCTCCGGGTGCTGCTGGCGGAGCTGTCCAACGTGCGCAGCGACGCCGCGCTGGTGGCCTCCGCAGGAGCAACAGGCGACTGGTGCGGCGATTGTACATCGGTTTTTGTTGGGAAGCATTTTACATTTTTGCTTATTGTGGTTTAGTGGTTGAAATCCAACCACTTAACTGCAAAGACTTAAATTTTGCTCCCCTTTCAGCGTCAACCAAATGTAGGGGGTTGGGTCGGTCCAGGTGACTTTGGCTGCGTAGATATGCGAAAGGTCCATGTTTGATTGAAAGCAATGCACTCAGGCAGTGAGTGTAAACTTGAGAAATATATATGTGTGTATATATATATATAAATCGCAAGAGCACGCTGGGCTGAGAGCTCGGGTGCTGCATCCGAAAGTCGAGGAAGGAGGCCCAACCGTCTTGTTTGGTTGAAAGGGGGCAAAGACATCTATTTGGCTGGGCAGTTGATTGTGCTTTCTCCTTAGCTTTTTGTTTGTTCGCACCATGTATTTTTCTCTGGTGTTTGCTTCCACCGCCAGAAACAAGTCCTAGTGATTTTGACATGCTGAGGCAAGGAGCCGTGCTTTGAGCCCGACGCATTTGAGCAGCGCCCGGAAGCTCCAGTGCCCTTGTTTCCTTCTGGAGTTATTACGGGTGGGTACAAGAGGGGTGGGTAGTTGAGACCCCCTAGGATTCCTTAGGGGTAGGGAGCCTTAGGGATCCCCCCCCCCTTAGGGGCACCTTCCCTTGGGGTTCCTCTCCCCAACCAATCCAGACCACCAATTGGTCTAGGGGTATCTTCCATTTCCATTCTTTCCCTCAGGGATCCGAGTCTGTCTAGAAAACCTCTGGAAACCCAGGGAAAACGGATCCGATTTTTGGAAAGAACGATGGTTGAAAAGGATGGAAAAGGAATCAACCCTTAGAAAGATTGCAAGTATCCTTTGGGCTCTTTAAAACCCCGAAAGGAACCACCAATTGGAGGGAAGCTGATGTTTAAACCTCTCCCACGTCACGGCGCTTTGCAGGTGGCAGCCCTAGCTGGCAAAGCTCCAGCTGGCGTCGGCCGCAGGCGCGAGTGGCTCAGGATTGACTGGGAAAGGCAACCGTCTATAGGGGTTTCATTCCTTTTCCATTCTTTTCAACCATCGTTCTTTCCAAATACCGGATCCGTTTTCCCTGGGTTTCCGGAGGTTTTCTAGAAAGAAGGATCCCTGCAAAAAGAATGGGCAAGGTACCCTAGAAAACGAGTCGACATAGACAACGGTTTTTGGTTTAGTTGAAAGGGATTTGTCTATGATGGATTCCGAAAAGTATGAGGTACCAACAAAACCCTTTTGGTTTGGTGGAAATGCTGGTCTTTGGTGTGACCGAATCGGCCCTTAGATCTTTACACTGGTCCTGGCGCTCACGTGGTGGAAGTTTCATATGCCTATTCGACTACCAACATGCAAACGGGAGCACATTCATGGGGGCAAGTGTCCTAACATTTGGTTGATGCAGCAAATTACATGAATGGAGGGGTTTGCCTTTACAAACAATGTGCTGTGTCCATGTCCATAACCCCCCCCTTATGAAAGAGAAACCTCTCGTTCCCCCCCCCCCCATTGAATTCACGCTGTTTTTGGTTGAATAACAACCTCCCCCCCCCCCCAAAGCGCGCCCACCCCTTGGAACTCCTCATGGAAATCTGCTGCCACGCTAGGCTGAGGTGCCAGAGTCCGAGACGCGGGACCCACGGGACCCACGGGAACCAGGCCGCCGAAAAGCGCCAGAGATGGGCGGCTTTTCCCCCAAGACGCGGCTCATGGTTGGAACAACACCCCCAAGTTGTGCTTGACCCCAATGGTTTGAACCCTGGGCTGGTTGAAATGGTCTCAACCCTGGGCTAGTTGACCATGTTGCTGTGAGCGACTCGTCTTTAAGCAAGCTCGGCCTTGATTGATTTAGTTTCCAGTTTGCTTAGGTCATCCCATTGTGAGTGGACCCTTCTGGGGGCTGGGTGCTTTTTTCTTGATCGTTCTTCGGGCAACTGAGTGCACCAGTTCCAGTTGCCATACTAGACAACCAGGGGAAACCATCTAAATCCTGAAGGTCAACCACCTGGTGACCTACGTTGGTGTCGGCTGTATTTTTTCAGATGGTGCCCCAAAGCTGGCTTCAGCTCACGTGTTAGGTGATACTCGCGACTCGTCCCCCATTGGGCTCGCCCCACTTCAGGACGTAGCAAACACGGCAGTCTTTCGAGTCACTGTGTTTGTTTGCGTGGCGTCTGTGATTTGTATTGTTGTATGTGTTTGCTTGTTTGTTTGCTTGATTGCTTGCTTGTTTGGTTGTTTGTTTTGCTTGCTTGCTTGGCTTGGCTTGGCTTGGCTTGGCTTGGCTTGGCTTGGCTTGGCTTGGCTTGGCTTGGCTTGGCTTGCTTGCTTGCCTGCCTGCGTGGGTGCGTGCTTGCTTGCTTGCTTGCTGGTTTGTTTGTTTGTTTGTTTGCTTCTTTGCTTCTTAGCTTGTTTGTTTGATTGCTTGTTTATTGCATGTACATGTTTGTTGTGTGTGTGTGGCTGTTCTTGGTTTCTCGGTTGGTTGATTGGCTCTTCTGCATACGAGCAGTGCTTGAGAAGGCACATGCCATGATCCACTGGGTCTAGTGTTTGGTCAGATTGAGATTGTCCAAGCACGTATTGTACGAATAACGCAATAATTGCGAAAACTAGCTTTCACAACACAAACTCAATCCGCGCAAGCGCCGCGTAGTCTTTTGCAATGTGGACACCACTCGCGTAAGCTACCCTCGCATCCGCAGAAGTCCCGCGTAGGCCTTCGCGAAAGGATTTTGTTAGTGTCTCCGGCCCGCACAATGATTTGGAACAACGCTCAATTAGCCACAAGATCAGGCTAGAATCACAACAACTGTTTGGTAAGCGCTGGTCAAACACATTGATGACACTGAGAGGAGCCAAGTGTAAGGCATCGCAAGACTCTTCACAACAGATGTGTGAAGCAATGAGCGTCATGGAACGCACCCAATGAAGTCAGCTCGATTTGGCGGCATTCCGGCAAAACCTGGTTAGTTTGAACTCGTTTTGCTTCTGGCGGTCACTTCAAGATGTATCTTACGTGCTTGTGCTTGACAGGAGCAATAGACCGTATGGGTAGTCTATTGTTGCTTTAATAAGCGCGGCCTCCAACTCAAGGGTTTCATCCTCCTTCTCTCTACTCCTTTTGCTGCACGAAGAAGTAGGCGCGTCTTTTTAAATTCGACCCCTTTGGTGGTGATCTGCTTTTTGAAACGCCTTTAACACACCCCCAGAAGAGCACCCTCGAGAAAGGACTTATCCAGATACTAGCTGTGGCTCATTTCGCCCTTCGTTCAGGCACCCCAGCCTCGGTGTTCGTTTGCCCACATTTGGCGGGCGACCTGACCTTTGGACAGCATGACGCTCGCTTGCAAGCCAGTGGGGTTGTGTTTGCATGAGGACACAGGCGCCCTAAAAGGTTGGTTTTTAAATTCTGCGTTCTGTGCAACTCCTTCCCAATAAAGTGGGCAGGGTATGTAGAAAAAAAGCGTTTAGCAGGGCTGTCCGGGTTTTGCATGTGAGCGTGACGAGAAGCTGGTTGGTTGTTGTTGCGCAATAGACGAAAAAGAAACAACCAACGATTGGTCCCTATTTCAGGAACCTGCGTGTAGTGGCTTTGTCATTTGACCATATGTTGAGACAACGAATGGGTCTTTCATTTTACCCGAAACCCTTTATGGTTGGTTTTTTTCAGCAACACATGGGTACGTGTCAAAACAGGCAGAGTACCAATTGCCATGGTAGTCCTTTCGGTTTCCTTTCTTTTTTCCCAGCCCAACCGCTCCCGATTGATTTTGGCCCTCAAACCGCCCGGGTTTGAGACCCCGAAACCCCCTCTAGTCCAATGGAGGGTCTTCCATTGGAAGGTCATGGAGCGTCTGGGAGGTGAAAACGGCACCCGGACACCCACGATTTTCTCGAACAACCGGAGATTCTTGAAGAGCTCGCTGCACCGAGGCCCCGGTGCCCAACGGCAGCTTGGCTTTGACATGCTGCGACTCAACTGGGGCAAAAGACGTTGGGGGGGCGAGACTTCTCCAATTTCCCTTGGCGCTTCCTGGCAAATGGAGTCAGGGGGGACTTACCTTCCCACCAGCGGGAAGTGCGCAGACGTTTTTCGAAAGACGATGTTCTTTTTGGAAAAACCCTGATCCATAGTTGGTCAGTGGACGAGTACCCAAATGAACTGATATTGTCCGCTCCTTTCTGGCAAAGTATATCGAGCTCCCCTGGGATATGACGAGCTCGCCCATGAAAGGTTCCTTGGAAATCTTTGTGAAGTATATTAACCAGATCTTTGTTGCTGCAGTAATCGTTGGCAACCATGCTCGAACAATGAAGTATCCATTGCCAAGGGCTGTGCGCATGCTGCCTCTGCGCAGCCCCTGACAATCTCTATCACCAGAACGTCATGTGAGCAGACAGAGTTGCTGGTAATTTGTCTATGGCAACGGGTTCATGCTGGAGTCGCCGTGTTTTGATTTTTCAAAAATGGCTACCAACTCAAAACAGGCATGGGTCATGCACGTGTTCAGCTACTTGCCTTCGGAGCGGCTTCCTTGAACCCAGGCATGTCACATTCATGGACCCATTCTTCACCAAGAAGCAGCCCAAGAAAAGACGCCCTCAACGGGCAACAAGGGGGCACCCGTCCAGGGTAGATTTCGCAGATGGGCGGTGGTAATGCTTTCGGTTCCCTTATATGAGCAACGGACATTCTGTTTGGTGGTTTCAACTTACTATTTTCGGATGTAATGTCACCAATCACGCATTCTCAGGATGCAGTTCACATCGGTTTGTGGTAGTCGATCATTTCACGGTCACGGCGGCCAAGTGGGGTCCTTCTCTGCAACACAAGTCCGTTGTTTTTGTTGTTGTGTTTGTCCCTGAGCAGCCATTTTGGGAGAGTAAGCTTGGGCACTTCCCGGTCTTTTGTTTGCGCTGCTTACATGTTTGAGTAACTTTCGATTTGAAATGCTTTCTTGAGCCATGTCAACAATTTTCGAGCTATGTGCTTGCCTCAAGGTGCTATTTCCGAGGTGCTATCGTTCTCACACCTTCTACCATGTTGGTGGGGCCCTTTTTCTGAAAACCTTGACATGCGGCGTGTTTGGTGGGTTTGTACGACTTTCCCTTGGACACAAGGTCCACACATGGCGTGCCCAAGCAAATGGCCAGGAAGAGTACTGCACTTGTGGGAGGTATGCGCCCAGATTGCCAGATTCCTCCAACATGTGAGGGTTTGGGGGTTCCTTTGATGCTGAAGCCATGTGAACCACAATCAAAACCGATTCGGATAGATGAAGGTTAAAGGATAATCCCAACCAGAAATGGGAACCTTCGCCTTTTCCATTTCTTTCATGCTTCTGGGATGTTCTGGGTATATAGACCATTCTAACTGACCGGTTTTGATCAGTTTTCCAGGCCCGATATTTGCAGACGCGCAAACCCAAACTATCTTGAGAAACATAACATTTGGGTCTGTCGTTTTTTAGGGACCCCTAGAATAGTTGGTTTCCCTTGTTATTCCTTCAAAATCACAAAATCATGTGAAGTAATTGAGTACCCTCACAAGAAGATCCACCCATTTGTTCATAACTCTGAGCCCATGTTTGTTCGAAAAGCCGACACTGGGGTTGTCTTCCCCCGCCAAAAAAAAAAAACACAAGCAAATGTCCTCTTGGATTTTCCACATGCGAATCCACCGGAGGTTTGGGAAAATGGGAACCAGATTCCTGAAGTCTGGGGATGGTGATCAGTCTTGGGGGTTTTAGACAAAAAGTCACGTCTGGATGCCGATCCACCTCCAAAAAACCGGAACCTGGAGTCTCCGTGACCCTTAAAAAATTGGGTCAGCGACCCCACGGTTTTGGGTCATGACCCCATTTTTTTAAGGGTCATGGAGACTCCAGGAACACATTCCAGGGAACCGCGACAGGGACTGCCAGGGAGGCGAATCATTCGCCGTCGCGAGGCACCGCCGGTTGGGCCTCCTCTCGGCCTTCATCTGCCTCCAGTTGGGCGGAGGACCGGTACAAGGCCGGCGCGAGTTGCGAGCCGGAGTCGGGTGGAATGAACTTGTCTGAGGACGTGGATGTTTCAGTTGAGTTTTTTTTTTTTTTTTTGTGTTGTTGATTGTTTTTGTTCTTTCTGGCATCTTAGCTTCTTGTTCCAATGTGGGTCTGTCTTTTTTAGGGGACACCCCCCTGAAAACGGTGGTCTTCCTTTTGGTTTCCGTTTAAAGCCACCGAATATGCTTTGAAGGGTTTGGCCAGATCCCCAGAAAGCCTGCAAAAGAAGAACCGCCCAACCAACGGCCTTACAGATATGGGTGATATGGGCTAGGTCCCGCAGCTAGGTGCCCTTTCTCACCCCTTTTTTTGGGGGAGGGTTCCAAACTACTAAATTAGACTACAGAAACAAGTTGGTACCCTTATTCTAACCTCTCTACTGGAGGACCTAGTGGGTGTGTCTGTTTTGTTTTCATTTGCCCTTGGGGTTGGTTTAGATAGGGGAAGCCACAGGGACAACCACTAGCCAGGCAATCCTACGTTGGGGGCCTTGTATTTTACGACACACCCATATTGGCAGTGCGCCTTTTGGGTACCCGATCGCTACTTTTGGAGGTTCCAAGCATGGACATGGAAGAAACCCCGTTTTATCGACCCCTATCTTTTGGGAGGCTTTGGGGGTGGTTGGTGGGGCCCCTGACAATGATCATGTCCATGGATAGGCGGGGGGGGGGGGGGGGCGGGGAAGGGGTCTCCAATCAAAGAGGCCCGTCACCGCACAGATGCTGTTTGCCGCATGTTTAAACGCCGGCATGTTTAAACTTTGAACCATAGGTTCACCTTTCATTGTCTAAAGCAGGGGTTGCCCACCCTGGGATAAGACGCTTCGCCATTGGATCTTATTGAAGTTTGCTTGCAACTTGCTTGGATGACAAGCCGGCTGATAACTCATTCTGGCGACCTGGCCAGCTGTTGGTTTCCAGGTTGCCAGCTGTTGGTTTCCATATTGACGGTTTGGTGTTAGTCCCGAAAAGGATCGACCTTTTCATACCAGGTCTCGGCAAGATGAGTAATTGCAATCTGCCGATTTTGTTTGGGCATGATTCAGCACGATGCACCCAAGCAACTTGTTTTTGTGTTGCAACTGAACCATAAAGAGGAGGTCTCGCGAGTGTCATGGCAAATGGGAAATGTGGGGGTTGATTGAAACTCCTAGCCTCCTAGCCCCCAAAAGCGCCAAATGACTGTGGGTAACTGTCTCCCATATGGAAAAGTCATTTGTTTAGTGGTTTTCTCCAATGGTTATCCCAAGGAAGCGAGCCTTTTGATCAACCCCAGGTGTCACAACTGCGAGTCCCTTTAGGTGCAGTGCCGATGTTTGCCACATCCCCAGAAGACCCCGTGGCCGACTCGAATCGGCCGAAGCCCTTTGCAAGGAAATTCAACAGGTCCATTTGCACTTGCTTAGGGTTGGCAGGGATGGTCATAGACCTATTTGATAGGGTCTTTAGACAGCCATGAGATGGTTTCCATTGGTGGAAAAATGTCCATGGCACATACCATGTCACCGTCCGGAATCATGTCATTGTCTCATAGGAAACATTCATGACGTGCTTCCATCATCATTCCCCGCTCGCGCCGCTGAGTAGGTCCGAACCGAACCCTCGCCATTTGGCGCGTTTCCGGCTCAAGCGCTCCGAGAGCGCTAGGTTGGCGACCGTTGCTTTGTCAATCATGCTACAAGGCTGCTTTTTAGTACTGCGTGTTTATGTGTTTAACCTTTTGAAATGAGTCTATTCTGTAAGTTTTGCTACACGTGAATCAGCAAAAAACATATCTTTTGAAGCGACATTTCTTTTGTTAAGGTTTGCTACACATGGATCAGACTCGAACAGTAAACATATATAGTTTTGGGTTGCGAGCAAACGCTGAGATAGATACATGTTAGTACCACCAGTCTGAGAACCATTCTTTGGCGACGGGTCATTCTCGTTGGGCGTGATTCAGCACATGCTCCCAGATTTGGCGTGGTTTGGTGTTCGTCCAGTGCCGCCGAGCAAGCGCTCATGGCGGTGTCCACTGACAGATAGAGGTGGTTGCCTTTGTGGAGAAGAGCTGGTTCTGGCAAAATCCAAGCGTGTACAACCCGGAGAGGGGGACTCCTTGCAATGATTACTTTTTGTCGGGTCGCCGCACTTTGCTTGAGACGCTTCCTTTCTACCAGGAGTCTCCATGACCCTGTACAAATGGGTCAATGACCCCATTGTTTTGGGTAGTGACCAACCATGTTTTAAGGGTCAGAAGGAGACTCCAGGTAGGCATTGCTTCCAGTAAACAAACCACAAACAGACTCGCGCGTTCTGGCGCCACCTTCGGCCATGGCGGTGCGCGGCTCAGAGTCTCTTTTTGGAACTGATGGGGAGGTTCGCAAGTTGGAAATCGGTCCCTTAACGCAGTTCATAGCTCGGTTGTTCAGTGGCACCCTTTTTCCCTTTGTTTTGGTGGCTGCCCCACTAAAAATGGTCTTCCGGTCCCCTAACGCAGTTCATACTGTGGATGGACAAAATCCATTTCGCACCACCGAAGAAACCATGGGAAGCCTTTGTTTGCTGGTATTTACATGGGAATCATCATTCCAGGGTTTCTCAGGTGGTGCAGGATTTTGTCCATCCACGGTAGGTTTCCTGATGGTTTCCCGTTAAATGCCGACCCAACAAAACGTGGCGAAAAGGAGCTTCCTCCTTTGAATGAATGTATGACCTTATAGGATCAAACCATTCTGAATTGTGCCACAAGCAAACCATCAGGAGATGTGTTTTTCTCTTGTTCCGTAGCATGCAACATCTGCTTGTATGGACCCTTTGGCCATTTTGCTCCCCGTGACTGGGTTTCCACAACGGGTGGTGTGACCCATAGGGCTTTCGTCCGCTTGCATGGAGGTCAGAGACGTGGGAGGAATCGGCAAACCAACGGATTCCTTGAGCCGGTGTTCCCGGTACGCATCCTGTGCAAGAGGGGTCTATTTGGCTGTGGCAATCAAGAAAACCAGAATTCCAAAATGGCGCAAGCCCTGGTAAGTGGACACCTGGAAACCAAAACCTGCGGTTTGGTAACCCCTCCGATGGTTTTCTTTTTGGTTGCCACACCCACCTGGACCGAAACCTGCAGAACCCCTGGCCAGGCTGGGGAAACCGGAAAAAAGATCAGTTGCAACCCCCCAAAGATCCACCGAGGTGTCGGGGCTTTTCCCCTGAAAGGGAAATTTTCAGGAGAACCTCCCACTAGTTGTCCCAGTTTAGCCAAAGTATTGAGGGCCTTTCCAGAACCCTCTATCTAAAAAGCTAAGAAGAACTGTCTGCGGGGAGGAGGGCAGAAGCTTCTTGGCCTCTTTCGGATGATGTGGTTGCATGGCAAAGCCTCTTTTTGACGATGGCTCATGTTGGATCCATTAGGTGTGGCTTTTTCTTGAGGCCCGGTGCCCGTTTAGGGATCGGTTCTCTTGAAGAAACCACAAGGACACCCCGCTCACTTCGGGGTGTGAAACGAGTTTTACGGGGCATCTTTGTGGAATTCAACTTGTTTGGTGCAAACTGCAAGGCAGCTCTAGCTCTTATACACAAAGGTATTGCTTGGTTTTTCTGGGCAGGTCCGTTTGGAACAATTGGGGACCGATGAGAAACCCTTCAGGGTTCTCAGAAGCCTTGAAATCAGAACGAACCTCTCTGCTCGGGCCCTTGGTTTTCGCCGGTTTCCGACCCGAGAAGTGGGCCGCAGGCCATCATGGAGATGCTGATTGACTCGGAGGAGGAGGCCAGACCAGCTTTTGACCAATCCCCCCCCCCCAGTGCTGACAGGCAAGCCACCATAGTAGGTAACCAGGGTTTCTTCATGATGTAACATTTAGAGCTAAGAAACCCTGGTTGCCTATTATAGTGGTAACTGGAAGCACTGGGCCCTGTTGATCCATTTTTGGTCATGGCCCCAAAGGGGATCACCGTTTGTTTCTGAATCCTTTGAACAACTGAGTGGGGTTAAACAGGTTGTGAACCTGCATTTCCAATGCTTCCAGTTCCCATAGCAGGTAACTAGTGGGAAAACATCCATGGTAAAGACTAGAGGACAAAAATACATGGTTGCCTACTGTGATGGTAACTGGAAGCACTGCCATTGGTTTCACAACATCCCTTTTGGAGTCCCTTTTGAGGGGCACTAAGATCCAGTTGCTTAAGCCCATGTTGCTCCACCCCGTTCCTGGCCGTGGTGATGGATTCGATGATTCGACACCGGTGCGGCATATCCTTGTTACGGTTGTTAAGCCGAAACGAGGGGGTACAATGTGGGTGTTTGCAACTACGGAACCCTTCCTGAGCACAAAGCACACATGCTATTTTGTATGCGGCTGGGTGTAGTTTGGTAACATTTTACACCTGTCACCTTGACGAACATGATGACGGTGGAAGAGTAGATGTACAAGTTTAAAGGTCGTGGTGTACCGTTGACCAAGCAGGGGCACACCTGTTGTGTCATATTGATTCATGATAGCATTGATTGATTGTCTATGTCATTGCGTTCATCCGTGAATGAAAACAGCCAGTGAAGGACGGCACGCATCTTTGATTTGCCCCCCTCCCCTCCCAGATTGGATGGCCAATGTGGGTGGTTCTGTTTGAGGGCGGCATTCTTCAAAGGAACACCACAGGGGAAGCCGCCATTTTTGGTGAGTCCCGTACGCACTTCATGAGTTCCTGGACGTGAAGCTTTCTGGCAAGACCGTGTTAGTGAACAGGTTTGGATGTTTTTTGGCCCATCCACACCCGTGTGCAAATATGGCTCTGAGTCTCCCGGTCAAAGCAGTGATTCAATGCACGAATCTGAGACCCTACTTGGCAACGAACTGCCGAACACACCAACCCCCAGGCCCACCTTCTTCGATTATCGAATTGGGGGAGGGGGGTGACCCCTGGAATTCCACGTATGGTTCCGTTGTCCCTTTTGTGGAGAATACTGGACAAATGGAATTCAACACCC